TTTTCTGTATGAGTATATACTTTTAAATTTATATGCGTGCATGGAAATGAATGAATTTTCTCCCTCACGAGTACATGTGGAGTTCCAGCAGGAATATTGTCATGAAATGAAAAATGAATAGTGTAATCCTTTTTTTATTAAGATTATCCTTCCAATTTTATACCGATTGAAGAAATATCTCATCAACTTATTATATAACTTTGATGACTAATTCATCTTTTAACGTTTCTCGATTGATTTACGGTTGATCTTCATATATTAGCTTAACTGATAGTGCTTTTGATCTAACTTGAGTTAAAAGGATTATTATCAAACTAATTAACCTTAAATATAATGCTAATAATTCAACTTGGATTATTTAAGTAACTTGATTGTCTTTAATCCACATGGAAAAAGATTTCCTGTGTTTTTCAATCATATAATTTAATAAATCTCTCTGCATGCTCAATAAGGAAAAGTCCATTCGAATGTAGATATAGCAAACATTCAGTTGAAAATTTTACAAGAATTCAACACATCTAATACTCTAACATTACCTTTAAAATAGTCTAGCCCGTACCTCGCACGAGCAAAGACTAGTCTTATTAATAAATTGCCAAGTTCCTCCTACCAAAGCGTCATTCAGGTATCTCTCTAGCATGGCAAGGAGTAATAAGTCATAGAGGTATTTGGTTGGAAAAAGAACAACCTCTTTTGTCCTTTCATCCAATCTCACATTTAACATAGATAATAACATCAAAATGCCATTTCTTCTACACAAAACACACACACGAACCATAAAACGTCTCCGACGTGATCACAATCAATAATCCATCCATTTTCATTCTTAGATTGACCAGTTCCATACATATACAAAAACCCACCTGCTGGTGATCATATAATACAGAATTAAACCTCGTATACCAAATTGAGCTTGAAATATTCATCAATACCTAAGGCCTAAGGGTCGGTTTGGTTTGCAGTGTTTTTTTGGGTTATATACTGCATAATATTAGCATTATCTGTTTGTAATTGGTGTATCCAATGTGGAGTGCCTATAAGTGCCGTAATAAGCATTGCTCATCACCATCTGCATTGTTGCCTCGTTTAACCATCACACACACAGAGAAATGATTTCCTAAATACAGGTGCTTCACTTAGATTAAGAACCGATGATATGACATACTAATTAATTGGTGAGCCACTAAATTCAGGGGATCAAAAAATTGAAATTTTGATGAGAAAATTTTGGAAAGAAAGAAAAATGTCTGGTTTATAATCTTTTGCTTGATTCCCTAATCCTATTTTCAATGTTGATGAAGAAAAATAGAGAATACAGTGCAATAAAATATATGGTCGACTAGAAAATGAAGTATTGTGGGTAGTAAATTAAAAATTACCGTTAATAACTTCAATTACCATGGCAATTTGCATATTGGTCCATTCATTTGAGCCTTATTCGGTTTCATAATCCTTTTATATCGTTATTCATGGGATGCTAGAATATATTAAAGTTATACTTTCAATAGAAATCAATATACTTTATAGGCTAATCAATAAATTTTTAAAAAATATAATATATTTCAATTTTCTAAATAAGACTAAGTAGATGCCCTAATTTTCACCTTTAATAATGTATTTATCAAATTTACTGTTCAAATACCCAATTTTTTAAATTCTAGTTAAATAGACCATAGCTATCGTGACTTTATATACTCACTATATACACTTTTTTCCTACTTCATGATCAAGGATGGATCTAGGATTGGATTTAAAACCGAACTACAAAATTTCAGGTCGGACTACAACGCAAAAATAAAAAAAATTACATGTAAAAAAACTGCTTTTACAAACAAAAAACAAAAAAATGCCTTAAAAGATTTTTTTGTTTTTGGTCGT